TTTTAATCAAACCACTAGCATTGATAGATGGAAAAACTCTTACTAACAAGAAGGAAGAAAAAGGCTTTTCTCAACTGTTGTTGCCAACATCAGAGTATGAAGCCTTACCTATCTCATCCAACACAAAACTGACAAAAAGGCACCACATTTTCCAAGAAAAATGAAGTTTTAATGGTGTATGCACTAATAAAAATCCATGCCCAACTCACATCCAGTATTGGTACAGGGTCCTGAGGGTTGTGTTGTACAGGCTGGAAGTTGAAGTCTACAGTACTGTACTCAGGCAGGGCGTCTCTCAGGTACACCATGTGGGGGTCGACTGACTTCTGTAGCTTCAGCACCTGCACCTGGTGGATGGTGGGGTTGTACAGCTCATAGCAGATCTCTATACCTGTGGAGAAACACATAAAGGGAAGGGCAGTTCATTAGATGATGCTGTAATTATGTTTATGTCATACCTGGGGTATGATTACGTTCGATACGGGTGTTCCGGCCCGTGTGATAAATAGTGGTACGGCCCGGGGGTTCTTAACGCGTACATCCCAGGCTTCCAAATGTTCCATAGAATGATTTGAATGCATTTCGCCCTAACTGCGTGCACCGCTTTTGAAAATTTGAATACAAAGTTTGGACGTTGGAATTGATGTTGTTGCATTTTTGGGGTTTAGGGACACCAAAGTTTTGCTCATTTCGCATTGAAAGGCATGTTTTCTTGGGTGGGTATGACATAAATAAAATACAACACGGGGTATTCCGCATCACCCTCGGTCCCAGCCCACCCTGACCGATCTGACCCGCGGTCGGGCTTGTACCTCGGGCGATACGGAATACCCCGTGTTGTATTCTATATTTACCTACGTAGAAGGAAAACAACTTGTTTTTGTTCAGTTTCTTCTTCTTCTTTTCCGAACAAATAAAGTCAACGACCTGGACCAGAAGTCTGTCACCATGGTGATGTTGGGTTACATGACAGAAGCAGGACAGAGTTGGAGAGCCTGCTCACCATACATATGAATGTATTTGACTTTGAGTAAGAATAATAGTGCTGTAGTTTGTTGGCCTAGGCCAGGTGAAGGTAAACATTATGCATTTGCTTTGCAAATGTTACCTTTCCCGTTCACTTTATGTTCATGGTAGCAAAAATGGCGGTCTGAGAAAAATGGAGGTGTTTACCGAACTATATGTTTACGGCGTCGACAAGTGCAGAAAAAGAAAGTCAAGGAATTATTTCTTAACAGTGGTGATAAGTTTGCGGTACAGAAGTGACAGGAAAAACCACCAAAAGATCTATACTTTAGCCACTTCAAAGTCCCTGCCCTGTCTCTGCAGTGACTTACCTTGTTCATTGAGCACGTTTCTGAGAGTGAAGGTGGCCCCCAGTCCGTATCCTCCCCTCTTGATACAGATGCCCACAAACTTCTGGTATTTACCGGGGGCGTAGGGGTCAGCAGTCAACACTGACAAGATGCTGCCTGAAAACAACAGTACAAAATCCTTATTTAATTTACAGTAATTTTCAATGTCAATTTCCTGGTCATATTTTGACGTATTAAGTTGAACCAACCATATACCATGGCAAACTGATATCTGTAAGGCAAAAATTTCCAATATCACAGACGGAAAAATTGTTGCTTATTTCCTATCATAGGCTAGGCTAGCTCTAGCTAATTTTTGGAGGACCTGGTACAAACAAATCCAAAAAATAAGGGACTCCTCGGATAGCTTCTTTTTCGGACTATTCTTAAAACTTCAAGTAAACAAACAAGTATAAAAATGTGTGAAAAATGGCAGTAATTGTCAATATCTTACAGATTTCCTCATCCAGAATATTTATTTTTGTTTTGCTGCCCTGAAATTGTTGGATTCCTTGGTATTACAGTAAAATTAGGCATACATGCAGACAGAAGAACTCCAACATTGTGCCCTTGATTAAATCCGTACTCACCCACATAAAACTCGGGAATGTCCATGACGGAGCGCCGGCGTAGCATGTCCATCCTCTCCACGTGGTTCTTGGTGGGGAAGTCTGCCTTCATCCCGCGGGGAATGATGAATTCTGGACTGATGAACCTACAGATGGCAGCAAATAGAATGTTACAGTCATCCTTATTAAGTTTCACATTGTTAAGCTATGAAACATTAATGACATACATACATGTATAAAATTGCAATGATGTCATGGCCAGTGAGTGATAGGCAAAGTGACATTTTTGTGATTTACCTACTGATAATTTGTATATGCCTAGCCTTTACATAACCTGCATCTTGGGCAATCTGGGGCACAACAGTTAATCATTAACCAGTCAATTTTATAGATGTATTTAGTGTACAACCCAGGCTTTCCTGTTTGTTTAGGTAACAGTCCTCTAACACACCAGGACAAAATACACCTTATCTACAGTTTTATCTCATCTGCTGGTGGCCACTGTTGAAGATTCAAAGATACAGCTGGGAATCATAGCAGAGGTGTAAAATTGCTTCCTGCTGTTTCACCAATGGGGCCTTACACACTGTGCGTTCAACTGGCAGGTCTATCTGATCCTACCAGACCCAGGCTCACTGAGATACTTTGTGTCCAGTGTGCTATGGGTTTGGAACCCAGGCTATTTTTCCTGCACCTGCTACCACTGCGAACATATATTTCTGTGAACATGTCCTTTTTCTCAGACCGCAAACTGCTGGTACTGCGATCTTTAAGTGACTTACACTACTGTAACATTAAATATGAGATTGATATGTTTTCCAGCCTTTGCAAACATCAGGTATGATCCTACACATGTACCTTGTTGTTTTCCTGCTGCCTGTCTGCTCCTGTACTGCGTCTGTGATGTCAGGACTGGCTGTCACTGGTTTAGCTGCCTCTACAGTAGAGGACGACCAGCGCAAACACACTACAGATGGAAGTAACAACATGATTGGTCATGGATCACTGAGAAAATTTCCAGATACAGATAAATCGTTATTTCATATCTTGATATAAAATGTAACTGCTGGTATTGTAAGCTTGGTCATCTGACAGTATGTGCAAAAATGTTATGTTTCTGGATACCCGACCAACCCTAGCCTTTTTGAGGTCGGCCGCCAACAAGAGACATAAAATTATCTGAGTAGTGGTGCGTACTACTACTAGTACCAGTACACTGGACCAAATCAGAACCTAATTAGACCTAAGGTTTCGGTTAAAGTTCTAATATAATAATACAAGCGTACTGATGCATTTCAGTGTTATATTAGGCCATATTGATTTGATTAAATGGATGACATCTGCGCGCACAAGAATTTTCATTCGTTTTAAAAAAGTTTTTTTTATCCCGCTACATTTCCTACAAAGTAGCTGCAAAATGCGCAAATATAACGTTATGCCATAAATTGCCAACAAAAATATTGGAAAATGATACTAGTACTAACGTTAATGTCGAAGAATGCCAAAATCAATTCAAGAGAAAGAAAATGAAAAGAAATGAAAAGGAGTCTATTATTCGCCAAACCATAAGTACTCTCTGTGTTTAGTCCCTTGTTCAACCTTCATGACCACGTAGATTTCATAATGAAGGCTAATTTTTTTTTTGACAAACTTATTTTCATTAGCCAGCTCGCATCAGTTTTGGGGTCATTTAACTCCATGGGGTCATCCATATATAGTAAACAAATCAACATAACTACACTTCTTGGATCACTTTGGCTATAAATTATTGTTTATTAAAGAAGGGAATTCTACCTACTGACCTTATTTATTCAGGTCAGGATCGTAAATCTTTAGGAGACGCGACTTTTCCTAGGCCTAAGATAATCTTAATTAATTTAATTAAGACGAGCCGGACAGTGCCTAGCCGTGGCGACTCTTGATTTGGGCTTACATTTTGCATTACCCTCTGCAAGAGTCGTGGAAAGATCCATTGGCAGAACTGCACATTTCCCGTTGGCTGCACGATGCTCCGTTTTTGACCCGGTTTTTTGCTGTCCCGAGCTTCCCTACAATATAACTCCACAATTGGCCGGGTTGCCGATGTTTAGATCAGCCTAAATATTCCACAGCGCGACAGAAAAGTAGTAAAATAGCTAGTCGGCACAAGCTGGCGGCCATCTTGGATATAGTCGGGAATGTCCGCTACCGCCGTCGGGAACGCTCGGTAGCGTCACGATTACCGAAGCGCGACCGAAAGCTCTCCGATTATAACCGGAAAGGCT